CTACTGTTCCTTTCTCTCTCAGGATTCCATCCTACACTCCACTGTCATGCTTCCATCTCCTCTGCTGAATTAACTGTTTCTCAGTCTTTGTCTTTTATGGCACTGATACACACTGATCAGGTATTTTGTAGAATGTTCCAAAATTTAAGTATGTACATATTTTTTTTCATAATTAGAATACACTTTGGAAAGAGCAAGAATCTTTTCCATCACATTACATCAGGTCACATGACAACCACACAACACCACTGTGATGTTAAACCTGAAGCCTGGGTGTTTCTTCATGAAGCTTAGTATGGTTTTCTTTACAATCCTATTTTTAATTAATTTTTAGGTTTGCATATAGTACATGGGCTTCACTATGACATTTTTACATGCTGTTTTTATCCTTCCTGCCCATGGCCCTTCCCATCCACATGACCCCTCTTGCTGGGTCCCTTCCTCCCCTCAATAGCCCTCCCTTTGTTTTCATGTCATATTTCTCTTATTATCTTCTGGGCAAACTATTTTTTAGAAGCAAATCACTCAAGAATACCCTCCTGGAAAGAAGAGCATCGTCAGATAGTCTTTTACTTTCCTCTGTATGGAAGACTGGTCTCTTCTCACCAACTCTCTTTTGATTAGTGACTACATGGTATATATTTTTCATTCTTTTGCTTAAACATTTTTTTAAAATTTTATTTATGTGGCATGTCTGTCTGTGTGAGTGTATGTACACACTTGTGTGTATGGGTACTCATACAGGCCAGAAGAGGGCACTGGATCCCTTGGTGCTGGAGTTACAGATGTTTGTGAGCCACCTGATATGGGTGATGGTGCTGTGATCCAAACTCTGGTTTTCATGATTGAGTTGCAAGCTCTCTTAACTGCTAAACCATCTCTCCCAGCACCATTCTTTCTATTTTTAATCTTAATGTCTAAAGAGAAATTCATGGGGATGGGGAAATGGCTCAATAAGCAAGCACGATGACGTAAGTTTGGATACCCAGCACCTACCTAAAAGTCAGGTGTGGCAACAGACATCTGTAACCGCAGTCCTGGGACTGAAGCAGAGAATAGTGATTCTCTAGAGTTCATTGGCCAGCCAGTCTAGCTGAATCAGTGAGCTTAAGGTTCAGTGACAGCCCTGTCTCAAAAAAATGAGAGAAAGAGAAAGGGCTAGAGAAAGAGTTCAGCAGTTAAAAGCTGCTGCTGGCTGCTCTCCCAGAGGACCTGGATTTGATTCCTAGCACCCATATGGTGACTTAACAACTGTCCACAACTCTAGTTCCAGGGGACCCAACACCTCTTCTGGCCTCTTTGGGAACTGCAGCACATGTTATATAGACATACATGCAGGTAAAACACCCACACACATTTAAAAAAAAAACCTTTAAAAAAAAGGTGGAAAGTCACTGAGGAAAGATAATCCACCAGCCTCCATGTGCATGCACATATAACTAGCACATATACAAACAAATATACACACCACATACACACAGTGGAACTTATATAGGTAGTGTACAACCAGAAGTAATTAACTATTTAAATGGAATATTTAGATGTGTGATGTGGTTCTAATCTGGAGTGTCATTCATACACTCATGTTTAGAGGACTTGCACACACACCCAACTCCAGGGACCAAGTTTATTTACCTTATTTATGTTTATACTGATTTTCCTCTTGTTACAGGAGACATGCCTGATTCTCAATGTATTTTGTACTTTTAAAGCAGCTTGCTTGCTAGTGCATGCTTGCACTGCCAGCACTCAGGAGGCTGAAGCAGGAGAATCCCAAATTCAAGATCTGCCTGGCTATGTAGCAAGATACTGTATGAGAAAATATAAATAACCTGTCAACTGCCTGTGGCTAATGAAATCTTGGAGAACCTACAACTGCCACTGTACTAAACCAGCACAATCTCTAACCTCACTCTAAATAGTTATACTTATCCCACAGAGAAGTGAAGTTCTCACCTCTCATCAAAGAGTCTTTTCTTTGCAACACACAGAGACCATTATAGAAAACTACAACCAATCCAAATGCAGAGTTATGGAACACAGTCCCAACTGATAAATCTATAATACAACTCCTGCACCTAAGACTCAGGGATCATCACAGAAGACAGAGTGTGAAGACTGTAAGAGCCAAAGAGTCAGAGAGTTTGCTGTGAGAGTGTGTCTCCTAGAAATATCAGAGAAGCTATACCTGTGAAGTCTCACCAATATGGCTGCCTAAACATGATCTGGACAAAAATGACACCAACAGATATGCTAAAGTGAGAGGAGGAAACCTTATGAGGCCTTAAACCTAGACAAAGCACTCCAGGCAACTGAGGAATGCTGAGAGAGGAGAAACAGTTGTCCTCTGGGGAGAGGACACTGACTCAGTGGTTAATTCAGTAATACCAAATGGCCAGCCCTGAAAACATCCATACATGTAACAGCATACGGACCAAGCACGATGTATTATAAATTTACTGTACACAAAACACACACACACACACACACACACACACACACACACACACACACACACAAATGAAAGCAAAAGAAAATTTGAAAGAAAGCAGGGGAGATATATAAAAGGGGTTAGAGGGAAGAAAGGGGAGGGAGGAATGATGTAATTATAATTTTAAAAAGTCTATAACAAACTACAAGTATATGAATGACTAAATAGACAAAGCATGCTGACATTGATGCTGTGTTGTTTAGGGCTGGATTTTGTCCTTCTTTCTTAAGTAGGGTTAAATGTTATTTTGACAGGAGATTAAATTTTCCCCTTTTTCCAGGAAGCTAAATTTCTGGGAAATCAGGTCGAACCTTTGAAGGCTTTATAAACAGGTTTGTTTAAGACTTTTAAGTGAAGTTTATACACACACGTTAAGCAAGGACTCACATTATTTTTAAAACTGTGTTCAGTGTGATGAATCCTTCCCCTGTGACTGTCACCCGCTCCTCTACTTCCCCTGTGACTGTCACCCGCTCCTCTACTTCCCCTGTGACTGTCACCCGCTCCTCTACTTCCCCTGTGACTGTCACCCGCTCCTCTACTTCCCCTGTGACTGTCACCCGCTCCTCCACTTCCTCTGTGACTGTCACCCGCTCCTCTACTTCCCCTGTGACTGTCACCCGCTCCTCCACTTCCTCTGTGACTGTCACCCGCTCTACTTCCTCTGTGACTGTCACCCGCTCCTCTACTTCCTCTGTGACTGTCACCCGCTCCTCTACTTCCCCTGTGACTGTCACCCGCTCCTCTACTTCCTCTGTGACTGTCACCCGCTCCTCTACTTCCCCTGTGACTGTCACCCGCTCCTCTACTTCCTCTGTGACTGTCACCCGCTCCTCTACTTCCTCTGTGACTGTCACCCGCTCCTCTACTTCCCCTGTGACTGTCACCCGCTCCTCTACTTCCCCTGTGACTGTCACCTGCTGCCTGCTCCTCTGAAGCTTGCCCTTCTCACTTTGTTGGGAAGAGAAAAAAACATATTTTGAAGAGCTGAATTAGATCGGACTAAGTCTTGGCCTCTCAAGGGCACAAATGATCATCCCCAGAGAGTCACAATGACCTGCGCTTGCTGCTCAGAGCCTGAGACTGCCAGGTCTACTCAAGCTCTCATCTTGCAGAGCTCACTGGGCATCGTACCATTCACAAGGGCAGATTGGTGTGTAACAGGTCTGTTACATATTCTGCAACTCTTGCTCAGAAAGTGCCCCCTGCATGACAGTCTCACCCAAAACTTTCAATTATTTTCCCCTTAAACGGTGCTTATCAGATTTTCCTTTTATTAAAAAAATCTTTAAAAAAAATCATTAGTCTCCCCTGCACCCCCACCTTTAACCGTATGGTCTTATGCAGTTCAGGCTAGCTTCAAACTTGCTATGTAGTTGAAGATATCTTGAACTTCTGGCCCTCCTGGGACTAGAGACATATTTCACCACTTCTAGTTTATATGGTGCTGGGGATTGAACACAGGGCTCTGATCATAGTCGGCAAAAACTCTACCAACCGAGTTACATCCTCAGCCCCTATCCTCAGGACTGGGATTAAGAGCCTGGAGTAGGTTATGTCAAAGAAGATGTGGACTGGGAAAATGCTTAAGAGCTCTATTAGGAGCTTTGGCAAAAAATATTGTCAGGTCAACTGTGGACACGTTGATACACTGAGAATAGCCTGTGCCAAATGCAGGAATGTTGAACAGGACAGGATTTTCCACTTGTGAGACTCTGAAGCTCAGGTAACATTATAGAATCCAATCTCTGATTTCCTTTGTATGCACAAGTACCTTTGTGGCCCTCCCTCCCCAACTCTGCAATCCTGAATGAGATGAGGGTCCAAAGCTGGAAACTGCCATGTGGCCAGCATACAGAGGAATGCCCCACTTGCCTGTGCTGAGCACATCAGGACCTGGAGGATATGAGTGGTCCCCCTAAGGACCTACAACTCATTATTTTAATGTGTGTATCATTTGTGGAACATTGGCAACATGTAAGCATGTTGTCAGGTATCAGATGACTGTTTTCACATCTGCCATAATAATCCTAAGCACCTTCCTGGCAATTCTTTTTCAAGGTAGGAAACTGAGGCCAGAGAGAGAAAATAATTTACTCAAGTTACTTTCCTTCCTTAATAGCCACTTCATAAAAAGGCACTTTGCAATTTGCCATCTTCAGGAAACCTACGTAGTGAGGACATTTTTTTTTTTTTTTTTTTTTTTTTTTTTTGGTTTTTCGAGACAGGGTTTCTCTGTGTAGCTTTGTGCCTTTCCTGGAACTCACTTGGTAGTCCAGGCTGGCCTCGAACTCACAGAGATCCGCCTGGCTCTGCCTCCCGAGTGCTGGGATTAAAGGCGTGCGCCACCACCACCCGGCGTGAGGACATTTTTTTGATAACATCATTGAACAGTTACCTGTGACAACATTGAACCTGTTACCCTGTGACATATTAGGCCCTGTACCATACTGTCTCCCCACCTCACAGCACAAGCACTCAGGAGCCAGAAATCACACACATTACCCACCACATCATTTGGGAGGCTCTGGAGGTCATCAAAAGGGGTTTCCAGGGTGTTGGTGTCCACGTTCAAGATCACAACATCATCTAGGGCCATGTTTCTGACCTTCTGCAAGTAAAGAAAATACAGAGTCACTGGAACTGTCACCAGGACACAGGTTACTTCCCCTCGGCGTTCTTTAGAAAGAAGAACAGTACCCCTGGATAAAGGCTTACTCTACAGCCCCAGAAATACATGGCTCACTTCTGTTGCTCATTTAACTGCAAAAATTCTCCAACTTGCATGATCACCCTCCAAATCTCAAGAGTGAAAGCCATTCACAGAGGCTAGGTAACATGTCCTGGGTCAAATAGCTAAGAAATCTGCTGTCATTTTCCTTTATCTGTATCTATATATCTACATCCATCCATCCATCCATCCAACCATATCTATCTATCTATCTATCTATCTATCTATCTATCTGATATCGAAGATATTGCCTGACACTCTGACTCTAGCTTCTAGGACAGATCATGGTGCCTAAATAAACATTTCAAGGATCTTTCTAGCAGGAGGATAATCTGTTGGTCAGAGTCTCTCACAGTTAATAAAAACATGCCAGGAAACAGATTCCTAGAATCTTTCCATGTAATGGTCAGAGTCTCTAACTTCTGCTACTGACTTTTCGAGGGGTAGGGGACAGTCCCTAAACCTATGTCTCATTTTATAAGCATCTACTAAGTACTTTCCATTGGTGGAGTACCAAGGAGGTCCAACAAGACTCCTGACTAATGCATTTCCTCTCTACTGAAACCCACCATCCCATTAACTACAGCTTTATTTGCAGGCTGGGTGCAACTGAGAAGGTGCTGCTAATAACACAGCTGCTGAGCACTGTGTAGAACTGCATCTTAACAAGCACAAGCCCTATTTGCAGAGGAGCACACTGAGACTCAGAGTGGACTTCAGGACTTAGCAGCCTTGCTGCACCCCACAGGCTAAATCCTTGGGTGTACCACAACAAGGTTACACGAAGGTCAACCACAATCATTTCTCCACTAAGGCCACATACATTTCAGAGCTCACAATAGTCTGCCCCACTGGTATTTTCTTTTCCACCAGGAGCTAGAATGTGTGATGTTACCACCCATTTCAGAGACAAGAAATAAAGCCTCCATGAAGCGATGGAGTTGCTCAAGGTGGCACATTTAACTGTATGGCTTCATCTGTGAAACTGGAATAGATGTACCTCTCACTTCCTATCAGTTCCTCTAGTCCAGTGGTTCTCAATCTTCCCAACATTGTGACCCTTTAATACTGTTCCTCATGTTGTGGTGACCCCCCAACCATAAAATTATTTTCATTGCTACTTCAAAACTGTAATTTTGTTACTCTTATGAAGCATAATGTAAATACTGTTAGAGATTGAAGTTTGTCAAAGGAGTTATGGTCCACAGGTTGAGAATCAGTGCTCTAGGATGTTATGAAGATCAGAGGTCATATGTGACCAGGGCTAGGCACTCAGTAGTTCTTAATACATGGTGGTTATTACTATTACTTTTTAAATTTTTTAATCTTCTGGTTTTTTGAGGCAGGGTTTCTCTGTGTAGTCCTGGTTGTCCTAGAACTGACTCTGTAGACCAGGCTGCCCTCAAATCATTACTTTTTAATATGTGCTGTCAGGAAAGCTGCAGTGGCAATGGCCTCTTGGTGGTAACAGCTTGGCTCTCACTTCAAAGTCTGACGATTGTCATCAGAGGCAGAATTAGAGTGGTGATGAGGGATGCCAGGCTGCGGGTATTCAGCTGAGGACCACTGCAGCCCAGCATTTCTTGCCTTGCCTCATCCAACCCTCCCAATAGCTCCAAACAGAAGGGGCAGGAGGCAATGGCCACTGGAGAGCAGTCCTGGGGCTGAAAGGTCCTTTGAGCGGGTGTTGAGTGTAGATCAGAATTGGGCCTTGTTTCTGTGTTCCCAGAGTTGCCCCAGCAGCACAGACTAGCCCTTGTGGGCTCTCGGAGGCTGGGTGGAGCAGGCCTGTGATTTCCTTCCATTCCTGGCTGGAGGACTTGCCGGTTAAGCTGTGTGGAGTGTTTACTTTTTCAACAATGGCAGCAGACTGAAGAAGAGGAAAAACCCTGGCCTCCTTTCCTGACTTAGCGGGCCAGGGTCCCCTTAGTAACCAAATTGTCCCCATCACTGGGCTCCAGGCAGGAGCTGGTTCGGCAGTTTCCTCTCATGGGACAATGCTGCCCTGCTGGCGGCAAGGCCTCTTCTAAAGGGGCTGGCGTGGGCTCAAGGGGCTTCCTGAAGCTCAGAGTTCCCAAGGAAAGAATCACAGGCAGCTTGGCTGGAGGGTGCTCTCTGCCCAAAGGCTCAGGGCTATGGGGTGGGAGTGCTGGTGGAGAAGAACAGCTCCTGAGTACTAATTCATTTCTCTTCAGTATCATATTGAGGAGAGCCTAGTATCTTCAAGGCAAGGATGGAGGCTCAGAGACTAAGCAAATTTCCCAGTGCCATACTGCTAGGGAGGGCAGCAAACCTGGCTGTGGGAGAGTCTGACCCCAACACCTATCTGAAGAGACTCCCAGACCCATGTGCTCAGGATTCACACTGAGCACACATGCAGGCAGGCAGTCACAGCTGACTCTCTCAGGGCCCCGCTTCCTCTTATGCAAAACCACACTTGCCTTTTGTAACATAAACATTATCTATGCAGAAACAGAAAGACTCAAAGCTCAGAGAAGAAGCTTATTTTGGGGGGCCATCATTCTAAATTATTTCCTTTTGTGTTCTCTCCTCCCTAGCACCATTCTAAATCCTCCACAGTGCCCCTGCCTCCCTTGATTTTTTTCACTGATTACAGCATAAGCAATGCTCCACTTCATTAAAAGCTAAGTGACAGTTACTAATTGTTCCAGAGTGTTCTGCTACATGGAGGCAAACTCAACCAAGGCCAGTTGGCTGAACGTTACTTCAAGCATTTACGACATTAATATATATGACATGGTCATGAAGTCTGAAGGCTGGAAGCTCTGTGCTTCAGGACAGATTCCTAGAAGTGGTTTTAGTTTCTACTCCTTAAGAAGTGTCCCTGGTGAATTCATCTTGGAGAGATATCTTTTCTTCCAATTATTTTAAAGCCATTTTATCCACAGCTTGTGTTTCCTACTCTAAGTGAAGAAAAATCAGCAAAGACACGAGCAGATGTCAAAATAGTCCTCCAAAAATCCTACCCAATTAGAACACTTACGAGTACTGCAGCACACCGAGACAGCTCTCCGGTAGCTTGTCCCACCAACACATTCCCTCTCTTTTTAGTTACAGCATATGCCAAGGCTCCTGCCAGCTGCAAACCCCTCCCCCACCAGACTCCATAGGCTTCTCCTCAGAATGGGAAGAAGGGGGGAAAAAAGCACCAAACAACACTGACATATACACCAGCTTTCCAAATGGCATTTCTTACACAGAAACACAAAAAACGGCAGCACCCCATCTATAGTGCTCATTAAAATATTAAAACGTTTTTCCTGCGTGCTTTGTCAGTCTTGGTTTGACCTGTCTTTGGGTCAGGAAAGGGACAACTTAAAGCACATAAGATGCTCAGAAGCAACTGAGAGGACATTACTTTCCTAAGAGTCACCTCTAGCTCATCCATACCATGTGGATAGCCTTAAGCACTGTATTGGGCATCACAAACCCTCCAGGTTCCCAGGTGAGAAAAAAGAAGGGGAAAATACCAGCCCTATCCTCACTGTGCTGGCTATTTTTAAGTCAACTAGATACAAGCTAGAGCCACTGAAGAAGAATGAGTGACTTTCAATTAAGAAAATGTCTCCATACAATCAGGCTGCACGCAAGCCTGTATATTCTTATTTAGTGATTGATGGGGGAGGGCCCAGCCCAGCCCATTGTGGGTGGGTACACCTCTGGACAGGTAGTCCTGGGTTCTGTAAGAAAGCAGACTGAGCAGTCTTGGGGAACAGGCTAGTAAGCAGTACCCCTCCATGGTCTCTCCATCAGCTGCTACCTCCAGGTTCCTCCCCAGTTTGTGTTCCTGTCCTGAATTTCTTTGATGGTGAACTGTAAGTATAAGCCAAATAAACCCTTCCCTCCTCAACTTGCATTTTGGTCATGGTATTTAGTTGCAGTAATAGAAACCCTAAGACACCCACTGTAGTATTTAGAGATGCTAATGTGTGGTAAAGAGTTTCTGCATGATTTACAGAACTTGGTGGACTCTTTGCTCAGGCACTCTGAGAGCCTGTTACATAGTGTGGTTTCTAGGACCTGGGCTTCCCACAGTCAGAACAACACATTGATCTAGGTCTACTTATGCAGTACTAGCTTACTTATCGATCCTTTGCCCTGTCTCTGGCTTTCCTACTTTAGTTCCCACCCCAACACTTGGCCCACAGCTGACGATTCTTAAATGAGTGAATGAATAAATGAAAGAAGATGTGGGGTGGGGAGAGAGAATGAACAGAACTCGAGGTGAGCAGCACAGATCCTACATCTAGTCTGAATTCTACCTAACCACACCAGCTACACCAATCTGGGTAAGTCAATCTTCCTGTGCCTGTTTCCATTCTTCTGGGTTCAGACAACAGACACTATACTAAGGTTGCTATGAGTATTAGATGGGCTAACATTTTAAAAGTATTTAAGTAGAGCCTGGCTCACAGGAAATGCAAGGTAAGTGTTAAGTAAAAACTACTGCTCTTTTAGGGGTGATAGGAATGTGCCAAACCATTATGGTAGTGGCTTCAAAACTCAAAATTTATTGAACCATACACTTTAAATGGATGGTTTGTTGTGCATGAACTATACCTCAGTGTAGTTGATAAGCCCATCAGAATGATATTCGGAACACAGAATAAACTCAAAGTAGACCTGGAAAGGCAGGGGTGGGTGCATGACTGTGAATGAGTGTTAAGGACAAGGGGGCTCTTCCCAGGGCCACCCTGAAGACTTTTGGGTCCCCATGCCCTTCATGTCAACATGAGAGCTTTTAAAAATGTTTGCATCTTGTACCATCTTAGGGTATGCCTAAATACCTAATGACCTGGAAGGGAACTGGGCAGTTATTGAAAGGGCAGGACTCACAGCAAGGCCATAAAATGAAGAGG